GGGGGGAAATTGTGAAAGCAAGCTGACAAGTCTGGGGCTCAAACAGCAGTCAGCCATGTGGGAGTCCAGTGCCCTTAACCACCATGCCACCTGCTGGCCCCTAGTTTTATTAATCTTTACCTGGAATTGAATATCTCTTTCCATTATGAATGTAGGCTACAACCTAAGAGAATTAGCAGTGCCTTAGATTTTATTGTACAACTAGTAGAAATTACAGGTTTTTAAATACCTCATCAGGTTGTTTCAGTTATTTCTAAATATTGTTTATACATATGATTATTAGAACTTGCTAATTAATGTATTAATAAATAGAAACATTATCGCAAGTTGTCCTTTGATAAGTATTATATATATAATTACTTAGCTTTGAGACATTATGTAATAGTATGTGTTGCTACTTTGCTAGAGGAGCCTTAGCAGAGTACCACAAATAGAGTGACTTAAAAAATAGAAATCGATTATTTCACAGTTTTGGAAACTGGAAGTCTGATAACAAGGTGTCAATAGACTGCTTCCTTTGAAGGCAATAGGAGATCTGTGTGATCTGCTAGCTTCTTGTTCTTCAGCTTGTGGCAGCATGAAAGAATCTAGTCCTCATGTAGTTTTTGTCCTATGCACATGTCCCAGTGTCCAGATTTCTTTTTCTAAGGATACCAGTTTATAAGATTAGTGGCCCACATGCTCCAGTATGAACTCAACTAATACATCTGCAATGACCTTGTTCCAAACTAGGTCACATTCTGAGTTACTGGAGGCTAGGACTTAAACATAAGCATGGAGTAGGGAGGGGCATAATTCAATCCATAACAATCTGTAATACTGTGCATTTATTAGATTGTCAGGCGATTCCATTCTATAAGGAATTTGGCAAACTGTATGAATGCCTAGTACTCAATGGAAAACTTTCACTTCAGATATCGACCACAAGTTCAAGGGTCCCAGGACTACTCTTAACTTCAGAGCAACTGCTTACAAATTCCAGGGTCCCCACAGCCTATCTGAGACATGATAATTCCCAAGCATTACTCAGAACTCATTGAAAGCTGTTATGTCATGTTTATTGGAAGAGAAGGATAAAAATTAGAATAGGCAGAAGGAAGAGATACATAGGGCAGAGTCTGGGAGGATTCCAACATCCAATAATATTGATGTGAGACAATAAATACTGAAGTTGAGTATTGCCAACCTGACAATGGCATAAGAGTTTTTATTGTAACTTGATCACATATTGCCCTCTTCTGTTTCTCTTCAGCCCTTAGACTTTTAGGCCCAGTAAGTTTAGTCTCTAGTTCAATCAGAGTTTTGAGCTGATGCAGTTTTCCCAAAGCCTCCATGGTAAAATTCATTTTTGACTATTCAGTGCTCAAAACCTCTAGGCAAACAAGGGGCAGTCCTTACAGGACATTCCAGGGGTTTAGAGATCACCTCCTAATAGCTGCAGCAAAGATCAGACCTCACTCATGCCAGGCACATATGCATGCATGCCCAAGATCCTGAGAGGAGAAGAGATTGTGGCATGGCCATCCATCCCCCTGGGGGGTGATTTCTCACTTTCTGTCTCTGTCTCTTGACAAGCGCAAGTGCACACACACACAAAAAAGAACAAGTGCATATGAATAAGATTTGCAACATCTAGTCATCTAAAAAATGGCTAATCATCTTAAGAAACTGGCTACCATTGTATTACAATATACAAATAAGTACCATGAAGTGTTCAGTTGTTCTCTATGCATTCTAGTGTAATAATGTTTTGTTTTGTTTTGTTTTGTTTTAGTTTAGTTTATCTATTTCTTACATTAGAGGAGAGTTAGAGAGAGAGTCAGGTACCCTCAACAGGGTCTTCACACTGTGATTCTACTGCATCTTTAGCCAGTCCAGATAAATTAGCACACAAGTGCGCCCATGCACAGGAAGACCTCAGGATAGGAACCCAGGATCTTTCCATGTGGCCTCAGCATTGTAGAGTATTGTGTTACCTACTCTACCACCATGACTGTCCTCCAGTTTAGGTTTTTTTTTTTTAAAGAAAGATTTTTGCTGCAGGGCACATACACTTGCCAGAGGAACAGAGACAGAGACAGAAAGTGAGAAATCACCCCCTTGGGGGGATGGCCATGCTAAAGTCCTTTCACCTCCATTCTCCTCTTGGGATTTTGAGCACACACCCACATGCACCCAGCATGAGTTTCAGGTCTAGTACTCAATTATGGTTGGCCAACTACTGATCCCTCCAGTTTAGTATTTTTTTAAAAAATGTTTTTAAAAAAAAACATTTTTTAATAAATGTTTATTTATTTTAATTTGACCAGAGAGAGACACAGAGGAGAGGCGGGGAGTAAGAAAGCAAGCCACAAGGTCTGGGACTTGAACCGTGATTGGCCATGTGTGAGTGTCCATTACCTTAACCACCACGCCACCTGTTGGTCCCCAGTTTAGTATTTTGAAATATAAAATAAAATTTTTAGACTCACTTGTAAGCATTTTTGAATAATTAAGCTAATGCCTCAATTATTTTAATATATAGCTAGCTAGAATTATGTCATATAAATTATGATTGCCTCATAATCCAGTTCCTGTTCCAAAATTAATGCAATATTTGCAAAATGGAAGTTGTGCTCTAACACAAGCTGAAATAGGTGATAAGTGTTGTGGTAGTAATAATAAGCACTTTTAAAAACTTGGAGAGGGACCGGCAGTTAGTGTAATGGCTATGTTGCTGAACTCCCATGTAGTCGACCGCGATTCGAGTCCCGGATCCGGTGGCTTAAACTCATGCTGGGCGTATGTGCATGTGTGCCCAAGATCCCGAGAGGAGAATGGAGGAGAAGGGATTGCAGTGTGGCCATCCCCCCTGGGAGGTGATTTCTCGCTTTCTGTCTCTGTTTCTCTCTGCCTTTCTGGCGAACACAGGCGCCCTATAGCAAAAAACAAACAAACAAACAAACAAAAATCTCTCCAGAAAAACAAAAAACTTGAAGAGAACAATCAATCTGCAGTAGGCTTAGAAATTCTTACAGTTAGAGAGCTTACTGTGTGTAGACTTTTTACTGCCTCATTTATTCCTGATGTACTTTTTATTATATAGGCATTGTTACCTGTGTTTAACTGAAGCTTGCCCAGAGTTACAGAGTTTTCAAAGAATAAAGAGAGGTATTAAGGAAGTAGGGAGAAATACTTGGAATATTTAAGTTGCCTTCATAGAAGAACAGAGATTTGGGACAAAGGCTTCACTTGGAGGTGTGACAGGTTGTGTCTTAAATAGCTACAGTCTGTGAAAGCACACGACTTGTAGAAGGGAGCTGGAAGTTTTGGTATAGAGTTGAATCTGAAAGAGAACATTAAAACCAAAGTATAGAGACTGAATCTCCCCTGGAGGATGACTTTTTGCTTTCTATCTCTCTGTCTCTGTCTGTTTTTCTGGTGAATGCACACGCCCTATAGCAAAAACCTCTCAAAAAAAAAAAAAAAAAAAGGATAAAAGGGGGACTCTAGGGGAGG